GGGAGCGTAAATAAAAAAAGGCTTGGACATAGGGGACTTCCGGCCATTTGCCTGTGCGTCGGCAAAAATTGTCTAGGTCTGTAAGGATGTTAAAGTCAAAAGTCCTATGCTCTGGCCAGCAAGAGCCATTGTCCAGTGTGTAGTGGGGCCATGCCGTGGTGGAGTAAAAGATGAGGCGTTTGGGATGGATGTCCTGGTCTAACAACAAGGGCTTAAGGTTTGCTAATAAACACCCCAGAGGGGTTGTTGGATCAATTTTGGAGTTTTGATTGCCCATTGGTTCTGAGTTTTTTCGGATAGCGTTCCTGGAACCCTATACCAGTGGGACTGTTTTACGCAGGTGGACGTCTCTGCCTGACGTTAGACAGCCGGACGAGGAGTGACCCTCCGAGGAATGACCCTCAAGGGAATAGGATGTCAGGCGTTCCTGAGCAACCAAACTCGCAGACTGTGAGGAGTTTCTGATGTGGTACCACGATTTTCTTGGGGTTCCTGGAACCCTGTGCCAATGATGCAGAAAACTCCAGGACAAACTCAGACTTTTGGGCAAGTCAACTCTCCAAAAATAATCACCCAAGAGATACAATAAAAGGAAAGTAGTCACACTGGAGACACGTCCCAAAAACTAGTCAAATGCCTAGTTGTCTGCTCCCTTCCCAGAGATTTGAGTGAGTCTTTGCCTAAGGTGTCTCCGTATAAACCCCGGAGCGGAGGGCAGAGCCACACCATTATGCCGATCCGACTTCACACAGAAATCACCTGAGGGCCCACCCAGACTCTGGCAAGTTAATTCCCCAACAGTAAACATACTGGAGACATGTCCCGAGGACCAGTCGGATGCCCGGTTGTCCGCTCCCCTCTCGGGGATTTAAGTGAGTCTTTGGCTAAGGTGTCTCCGTATAAACCCCGGAGCGGAGGGCAGAGCCACACCGTTATGCCATTCCGACTTCACACGGAAATCAACTGAGGGCCCACTCAGGCTCCGCGACTTAGATCTTGGAGCATCACAAAAAAACATTCACACAACCTCTCAGTCTGACACAGACAAATTACAAGAAAACCAATTCAAACCGTTTGGTAGTAGGCACTGGTTCATCGCCCAGAGCCAAAAAATTAAAATGGCCCACAGGATGGAGGACAACAGAATACAAAATGTATGTCTTCCGGTGGGCATTGAGTAAAGGGTAAGATGTGACTTACCGGTGGTGGATGCAGGGGGCCGGAATTCCCTGGTCCGGAGGGAAGAGGGAGAAGGAGAGTCAGAACTCCCTCAAGTTCCACTCCTTGTCCCGGGTTTCAGCACCAAAATGTAAAGCTGAGTTACCAAGACACCAGGACACGGAGTTGTTTCAGAGCAGCAGTTTATTGGCGCTCCCGGGCGAGGTTCTTATGCCCTAACAGCAGGGCTAGAGAAGTCGCACCCCCGGGCAGGCGGCATGGATTTTTATAGACACAGAGAGGACCTGTTTGGAGACAGCAGGGGAGTGACAGGGTCCTCTAAGGAAATGGCAGGGCTCAATTAGCTGTTAGCATGGGTCTGCACTTACTTGGCATGAGGGGGCTTCAGAAGAGGAAGTCTGTCACTGCATGGGACTTTTACAGTCTGGGCGGGTTCTGTTACTGCGGTTGTCTTATCAGGTTGTCTCATCAGGGCCTGACATCTAGAGGAAGCTGCCAACTGACATTTTGGGGCCTGGGTTTTTGCTTCAGCCTAACAGAAAGACCTACATTAGTATCTGTTGTCACTAACTGAAAATATTCCAAAGAGGATTTTTTTACAAAAAAAAAAGAAAAAGCCAAAAAGCAAATCTAGCATTCAGCGCTTGTTTTATAGGGAGCCATTAAGTTAAAGAGGGGGTGCACACCTCAAGCAGCGAGTGTTGTCCCCAGTCTCCTCTCCCAGGAACTACACTGTACATACATCATTCCTCCTTTACAAAGGGTCTAAGGTGATCATACCATTTCTGGTTTTACTATATGTTAATGTCAATTTAGATTTTATCTTTATTTGCTATAATTTGGTAGGTTATTTTTTGGGTCTTGGAGTGCTCAAAAATTTTTCTGATATTAATAGATGGTATTTGTGTCTTTGCCGTCTTAGTTATCTAGGGCTGCTGTCACAGAACTACCACAAGTGGATAGATGTAACATTTATTTTGTCACAGTTTAGGAGGCTAGACGTCTGATTTCAGGGTACTAGATCTTTCTGTCTCTGTTGCCTTACAGTTGAAGAGGAAGGTCTATATCTGTTTTCAGCATCTCTGGGCCTGTGGGCCCTGTGTTTCTTGGCGGTCTCCATGCAGCTTGGCCTGACTCTCTAAGAGGTTCCCAATACAGAGACGTTGGGTTGAAAGGAGAAGCTCAGCTCCTGGCTCCTCTTTCTTAGTGGTAGTAGGTCCCTCTGATCTCTGTTCACGTACTTAATCCCTTTTATATCTCTAATGGGGAGCTCTGGTCGTGTAGTGCCTAAGTCACTTGACTGCTAACCAGAAGGCTGGTGGTTGAAACTCACCAGCCACTCCTCAAAAGGAAGGTTGGGCAATCTGCTTCCATAGTGATTTCACCTTGGAAACGCAAGGAGGAATCGTTGTGAGTCGGATCCGACTCCACAGCAGTGTGTCTGATTTTGTGTTTTTGGTATATCTCTAATGAGATGAACTCATGCAACAACCCAGTTCTGTCCATTGGATCCTGCTTCATTAACAAAACTGCCTTGACTCCTGTCTTGTTATCATCATAAACCCACAAACCCACTACCATCAAGTAGTAAATTGCCTCATCTTCCTTCCATGGAGCAGCTGGTGGGTTTGAACCACCAAACTTCTGGTCAGCTATCAAATGCCTTAGGCACTGCACCACTAGAGCTACTTATTATCATCACAGAGGTGAGGATTTACAGCACATGGAATACATTAGATCACAAAATGTGGGAATAATTACACGATACTGAGAATCATGGACTAGCCAATTGAACATATTTTTGGGATTCCGTTCAATCCATAATATTTGCTTTACACCATTTGGGCTTACAAAAGGTTTCATGGGAATGCTCTGCTTTCTGATCCCATGAGAAACCGGTATGTGTCAAACCTGTCAATTCTGTCCCACCTTGTGGCAGTGCCGCTGTGTTGGCCTGAGCCACCAGCCTTTAGGTTCTGGATCGGCACTGACCATCTGTGCCATCCAGGCACCTAATGCACGTGTATAAAACCAGCTCTGATGTGCATCCATGGAACCGTCACCATACAATTGCATGACTGTAAATCAGATATCAAATATTTGAAACAAATCTCACTTACATACAATGATCAGAAAGCCCCATATTTTAGAAAAACAGTGAAATTAATCTCTACCAGAATGATTTAATCTATGAAACGTGAGACAATTCAAGGCAAAAAATACATGTGTTTACAGTGTGTGCTAATGGTGAATTCATACCTGACAGCCTGCTGCCTGTGTTTAACAGAAAGCATGTGGTAGGGAACCTCTGTGAAAGTGATGAAGACCGTCAGTGTGGACAGACCTTCAGCCGGATTCCAGATCTTTCTGTGCTCAAGAGAACGCCTGTGGAAGCATATCCTTCTGGATGCCTTGAGTGTGGAAAACCCATGATGGATCACTCATCACATAACCATCATATCACATCTCCCTCTGGACGTGATGCCCATCAGTGTAAGGGATGTGGAGAAGCCCGCAGTTGTCTCTCTTACCTCTGCGCTCCTGCGAAGACTCGCAGTGCCCAGAAACCCTATGAGTGTAGGGAGTGTGGGAAAGCCTTCAGTTGGCCATCACAGCTCACTTCACATGTAAGAAGTCACAGTGGAGAGAGGCCTTTTGAATGTAAGGAATGTGGGAAAGCCTTTCGTCATCCCTCACACCTGACTAATCATAAGAGAATTCACAGTGGCGAGAGGCCTTATGCATGTAAGGAATGTGGGAAAGGCTTTCGTTACTCCTCCCACCTCATTGTACACTTGAGAACTCACAGTGGCGAGAGGCCTTATGAATGTAAGGAATGTGGGAAAGCCTTTAATCAGTCCTCGGACCTCACTAGGCATATGAAAACCCACAGTGGAGAGAGGGCTTATGAATGTAAGGATTGCGGCAAAGCCTTTGCTCATTTCTCAAACCTCATTATCCACATGAAAATTCACAGCACAGAAAGGCTCTATGTGTGTAAGGAATGTGGCAAAGTCTTTAGTCAGTCCTCACACCTCACGAATCATATGAGAACTCACAGTGGAGAGAAGTCCTATGAATGTAAGGAGTGTGGCAAAGCCTTTCGGGACTCCTCACACCTCCTTATACATTTGAGAATTCACAGTGGAGAGAGGCCTTACGAGTGTAAGGAGTGTGGCAAAGCCTTCAGTTGCCCATCACAGCTCACGTCACATTTAAGAAGTCACAGTGGAGAGAGGCCTTATGAGTGTAAGGAGTGTGGCAAAGCCTTTCACCATTCCTCACATCTCTCTAAACATATGAGAATTCACAGTGGAGAGAGACCTTATGAATGTAAGGAATGTGGCAAAGCCTTTATTCAGTCCTCATGCCTCACTAGACACATGATAACTCACAGTGGCGAGAGATCTTATGAATGTAAAGCCTGTGGCAAAGCCTTTCGTCATCCCTCCCACCTCAGTATACATATGAAAATCCACACAGCAGAGAGGCCTTATGCAGTAAGGACTGTGGTCAACTGTTCCCTCATTCCTGACACATCACTAGTCATGTGAAAACTCACACTAGAGAGAGGTCTTAATGTGTGGAAGGAGTGCAGCAAGGTCTTCTGTCCTCACAGCTCACTGCACATAGAAGAACCCAGTGGAGAGAGGCCTGAAGGCAGGAATGTGGGAAAGCCTTCAGTATCCAGCGCTTTCTGAACACCTTATAGTGGATGTAAGCAATGTGAGAAAGCACTTAGTTATTCCTCGTACTTCACTGAATAAATAAGTAATCACCCTGAAGGGAAGTATTTTGAATTTACAGACTGGGAGGTTTTTTGTGAATCTTCAAACCTCAGTAATTATATAAAATTCACTGTGGAGAGAGGCCTTATTGATGTAAGGAATTTGACCCTAGGTATAAACTATTACAGTACAACAGTCAGTGGTTAACTGTAGACGTTCACGTCACCCTTGAAACATGTATCTCCTACAAATTACTCCAGTTTCCTTCCAAACCCACATCTTCATTATCTCACAAAACAAATTAACATCTCTGTATTTGTCCATATTTATTTATTATAATTGTTGGATTTTTGAAACTAGAATCTAAATTTCCACAGTGCCATTTTATTTTTTGATCTATCTAACCTGTCTTGAGGTGCTCCGGTAGCACAGTGCCTAAAGCATTTGGCTGCTGACCAGAATGCTGGCAGTTCAAACCCACCAGCCCCTCCTCAGAAGGAAGATGGGGCAATCTACTTCCATAGTGATACTGCGTCAGAAACCCAAGGAGGGGTCGCTATGAGTTGGGTCCGACTCATCAGCACATAACAACAACAACAACCTGTCTTGTACAGGATATTTTGCTGCTTATCTTTTAAAATGGTAAAATGTTTAGCATTTTGATAGAGTAAAACTTGGGAAAGTCAGAACCCTGTCAGAGGAGGAGAACCCACTGGGTGCTTCTGAGGGAGCATTCTTAATAGAAGAGTGGTGGCTCCCTGCCAGAGGTGGACGACGCAACACCCGGAAAACAAGGCCGTCTCGTTGAGTTCTGCCTGTCATTGGTTTCACTGTATTTGTTTTATCATCATTTTGTTTAAGTACTTGGTCTTCTGTATTTTTTGTAAGGCCGCTGTTGCATCTAGCACAGTTCTGTCTAATCCAAATGTAATGCAAGTCAGAGGTTCAATTTGAAATATTTTAGTAGGTATATTGGAAAATTAAAAATGTATATGTGAAATGTTCAATGAAAAGTTTCATTTAATCCAATATATCAAGTTACTGTCATTTTAAAAATTGTAAATTCAACTGACAGCTAATCCACATAAACTTATGTATGGGGTATCGCACCTGTCCTTCCTTTGTACTCATTCAGAATCCAGAAGAAGCACTTGTCATAAATTTTACTGTGGAAAAAGTCAAATTATAGTCCCGGGTTATTCCAAACATATTTATCTTACAAATGAATTGAGTCTATTGTTACATTTTAATGAAATAAAATTGAAGTTCTTTCAGTGTCTTAGTTGCAGTAGTCACATAGGTTGCTGACACTACCCTGTCAGGCTCTGAATGCGGAAGTGGTCCTGGATCACTTGGTACGTTCCTGTTGCAGAGCTGAAATAAACCATTTCTTCCCAAACCTCGGGTTCTTGTACAAATCAAGGAAGGTCTGCAATGCATGGGCTCAGTATAAACCAAAGCCTGGGCCATCAAGTCAACATTATCTTGACTGTTCAGTGAACATCTAAAAGACATATTTTCTTCCAAAATAAACTCATATTCATAATCCCAATACAAATTTACAATTGTATTTTTTGTTTGTTTGTTTTACATAATGTAAAAGAAATGGTGCCAGACAGTGTTAAACACTGCTTTAGTCAGGCTATTGTAGTAGGAGAGAGACCTCAGTATAAGTCCAAGTTCAACTCCAAAGAATGAGGTGAGACAAAGTTCTTTTTAATGTGTTTTGTGTTCTTGGGGTACTAGGAAATTACTAAGAGTGAGCTTACAACACCATCTGAGAGCCAGAAGGATGGATTTCAGGCAAGAATTCTAATGGTTTTCAGAAATGTTTGCTCAAGGTTGAGTTACTGGACTGAAGCAATAAACATTCAGTGGGCACATCTTGTCACTTTGTTACTTTATATTTGTACAGTACATACATAAGCCAGTAACATAGACCTTTATTATGATCATCAAGGCATATGTATTATAAAACAAACAGAAAAGAAAAAAAAAACCACTGCCATTGAGTCAATTCTGACTCATAGCGACCCTCACTGGGTTTCTGAGGCAGTAAATCTTTATGGAAGTAGATTGCCCAGTTTTCCTTTCACAGAGTGGCTGGTGGGTTTGAACCACCAAACCTTCAGGTTAAAAGTCAGCTGCCTTAGGCACTGTGCCACCAGAGCTCCTTACGTGCATTATAGGTTGTATATCAAAAACCCAAACCAAACACACTGCTATTGAGTTGGATCCAACTCAGAGAAACCCTTCCTTGGGTTTCTGAAGCAGTATCACTGTGGAAGTAGATTGCCCAACCTTCCTTCCGAGGAGTGGCTAGTGGGATTGAACCGCCAGCCTTCTGGTTAGCAGTCAGATGCCTTAGGGACTATGCCACCAGAGCTCATTATTTGTATATACTGTACTATTCTTAGAGGTGCAACCATTTTGTATACAAGAGATAGGAGATACATGGGTTGCGTGTAGGAAGGCGTTGTGTTAATTACATCCCATTACATCTATGTCTTATTCTCCAATTGGGATTTCTGAATTATATCCTTAAAAGGGCTCTGGTGGTGCAGGGGTTAAAGCATTTGGCTGCGAACCCAAAGGTTGGCCATTTAACCCACCAGCCACTGTGGGAGAAAGATGAGGGAGTCTGCTTCTAAAGACTTACAGCTTTGGAAACCCTGTGGGGCAGTTATTCTCTGTCCTATAGCACTGCTGTGAGTCAGCATCGATGGCAGTGGGTTATTAGATCCTTATGGAATCACAGACATATATGTGGTCAGATGTTGCCCAGATGGACAATATGTGGCACATGACTACATGTTTCATATACTGGTTACATATTTCCATTAAGGCTTTAATAAAAGATTACCATGCTCAAACATTTGCTTGAGCACAAACTCTTCTGCATGGTTATTTCAAAAAGGGCTTGCGGACAGTGTCTGACCAATTTTAACTTCACCGCAGGTGGAGAAGGATCAGAACCTGCAACCCAAGGCTGATTCCTGTGAGGCCGAGTTCAGACGTGCCTCCACCCTTTAACGTTTCTACCAATTCTGACACCGCCATCCTTCCCCCAGCACTTTCTACTTCTTTGCTAGGTTTGATAACTCATTGCAGTGGCCACAGAGATCACAAGCAATATTCCTAAATCTGGGTTTTATTAGGAAAGTAACAGGTTACAATTCAGGATCAGAAACAACTCAGGATAGTTCTTCAATCAGGACGTCTTATCAGTCTTGCTGCAAGCATGTTTCTTGCTGGGCTCAGCCTTTTGGACCCCTTAGCCTGCTCAGGCTAGTGTTAGAGCTCTTTTCTCTCTGCTGATAGGTGTCTAGAGAGGCACTCTGTTCCTCCAGCAAGCCTCCTGCCAAAAGGTACTGGAGTTTCTCACTCCGTGGGCCAGGAAGCCCACCATTCTGTCTCATTACAGCCTCCTGGTTATGTTGCTTCTGCTGCCACTGTTTGTTGCTGCTCTTTGCCATCTCTCGCTACCTCAGCAGTGTAATGAGCTCTCTGTCTCCTGGTCGAGGAGGTTCAGTGCAGGGATCTCGGGTCCAAGGATGTGCCCCACTCTTGGTTCTTCTTTCTTGATGGATCCCCCTTTCTGCCTCTGGGATGGCTCATTTTAAGCCTTGTTGTTGTTGTTGTTGTTGTTATGTGCTGTCGAGTCGGACCCAACTCATAGCGACTGCTCCTTGGGTTTCCAAGGCAGCATCACTATGGAAGTAGATTGCCCAACCTTCCTTCCGAGGAGTGGCTGGTGGATTTGAACCGCCAGCCTTCTGGTTAGCAGTCAAGTGCCTTAGTCACTATGCTACCCTCTAGAGCTCCCCATTTTAAGCCTAGTGGATGGAAAAACTGACCAACCCCCACATTAGGGTTGTATGCATCTTATTTCCATGAGTCGGGGCCGACTTGACGGCAAATAACAACAACAACAACAACATCCCCAAAAGGGTACCACATAGCTTATTATTAACAAGCTATCCAGTCCCCTTGGTGAGCCACACACACACCTTGTATTTGCATAGTTCCACTTACATGGTAGCTGTTTTTGTAGTCATGTGCCATTGAGTTGGAACCCCACTCAAGCGACCCCTCCTTGGGTTGCCGAGGTGGTATCACTATGGAAGTAGATTGCCCAACCTTCCGAGCAGTGGCTGGTGGGTTTGAACCACCAGCCTTCTAGTTAGCAGTCAAGTGCCTTAGGCACTATGCCACCAGAGCTCCCACATGGTGGCTGTTGTTGTTAGGTGCTGTTGAGTCGTTTCTGACTCATAGCGACCCCATGCACTGCAGAACGAAACACTGCCCGATCCCGTGCCAGCTCCATGAT